AAAAAATTTTTGTTTACATTTTCAGTTATAATATTGAGTAAAAACAGATCCCACTTACAAGAGTAAAAAATAACATAAAGTAGCAGGATTGAATCCTGTAAGAAATGTACAGTATGGTACCTTTATGAAGAACTGGAGAACTTCAACTAGAGTCAGACAGTGTCCCTCCAAATTAACCTATGCATGTTATGCAGTTCCTTTCAGAAGTCAAATATTTTTGGCAAGGAGGAGTGGCTTGGCAAAATTATTCTAAAGTTAATCTGGAAGATTAAATGTTTCTTTTTTACAAAGAACAGTAGGAATCAAACATGGAAAGTATTGTAAAGCTACAGTAAGTTAGTGTCGTATGGAATATAGCACAGAGGTCAGAAACCCACCTGACATAAGTGAGAGAGTCTTAGTAGGGGTTAACCACTGGGAAAACATGGTTAGAGCCATCTACCAATATTTGTATTTTTAACATTACAACAATGAAAGTGCTGGAACAGGTGCATGTTTGTTTATTATGAGGATGAGATAGGCCTGTCTAAACTCGGCATAGATCATAATTTGACTACAGATAATCCAAAATTTTTATGTCCAAAGCCCCTACAAGAGATAAATGACAGGAAACTTTTTGTAATGGACATTACTGACAAAGCATAACTGTATAACATGGTTTTTCAAATTCGCATGAAAAAGACACTCAGCAGCAGAGAGAAATGGGGAAAGAACTTGAATATTTCATTAAAGAGAAAATAGTATGCATATTAGCAAATGTTTTAACTCATTAATAATCAAAGAAATATAAATAGAATTTGTCAGTTTCTCAACGGCAAAAAGAAATTAAAATCCTCATGGTTGTTGAGAGCGAGATAGAAACGATCATTGTTTCTCATAGGTGTAAAATGTAGTGGTCTCCCCAGAACGCAACCAATAGTGTTTGTGTGAAGCCTCAAGAATGTGCCTTTCACTCCCACCAGCAGTTCTACTTCTCGGCATTTATTCTCAGGAAATAATTAGGCTCTGCAAGCTGATTTAGTATAGGATCGGTCATCAGGGCATTGTTCTGTAACAAGAACTGCAGGTAACCTAGATTGTCCAACAGCTAGGGATTAGCTATATTTGGTGAATCACTGATAATCTTTTGCCTTTTTACATGAAATAAAGGTATAAAAATATATATATTCTGATGACTTTTAAATAATACACGTTCATAGAAAACAGTCTATTTTCCTATTGTTAAAAAAGAGAACCAGAAGACTGGAGGGATGTGTGCCGAGGGGAAGCAGCCCAGCTCTGGATGATGGGTTTAGAGATGCTTTACATTTTCCCCCTTGATGGTTTTAACTACATTTTCTAAGTTTTTTTTCCAGAGAATATGTTGCTTTTTTATAATAAGAAAAAACTACATTATAAAAAGTGCATTTTAAAAATTTTGAGGAGGTCTTCATACTGCCCTGGGAGTTTAACATAGTGGCCAAGAGCGTGGGCTTTTGATCCCGGCAGACCTGGAATCACGTCCCAGCTCCGCCACACTTTTTGATGTAGGCAAGTTAATTTCTCTCAACCTCAGTTTCCTCAACTATAAAAACTGACGGTAATAAAAATAATACTGTATTACTTAGTTTATAGAGCTGCTATGGTGATTAAAGGAAATAATTCATGTAAAGAACTGAAGCTCAGTGCCCAGCACAGGAAGTGCCCATAAAGTGGTGGGGGTGTGGTGATGATAATCATCACAATAATATTGAAATTGTTATCGAAAATGTTGAGGATCAGTAATTTATATTACAAATTATCTCTGATTATACAGTCTTTCAGTGCCATTTGTACTTGATGTCAGTTTTTATACATTTATAAAAGGGAGTAGGGTGGGTGTAGTTCTTAACTATTATGACCAAACTGGACTTGCCAGTTGCTCCACTGTGAAATCCCATTCTGATCTCCCTGGGGTCCTGTCCCCAGGCCTCCACCACCAGTGCTGTTACAGCAGCCTGCTTCCTTCACAGCTCTTAGCACAGTTTGTAATTATTGATTTATTCCTTTCTTTACTTGTTTATCGTCAATGTCCTCCGTTAGGCTGTAAGTGCCATGGGGTGGAGACTGCCCAGTTGACCGTTATTTCCCCAGCACCAACGCACGGGTGGCCTCAGTAAGTGTTCACCATGCTGAGGAAGAGTCACACTTTGGGATGCTGGGCTTCAGGCCAATGGGTGCCACCGCTGTGTTCATGAAGGAGATGTGCAAACATATTTGGACTAAAATTATTATTACAAGAAAAGTGGGTATTTAGGTTAAATAAATTCCTTTGACTCTCAAAAATGTACAGTATAGAAAATAAATTCTACTTAAGTTCCCTTTAAGTTAAAATTTACTCTGGAAAGGTTTTTTTTGCAAGCAGATGACATTTCCAAGGATATCTGATTTGTGATAGTTTTTATTAGTAAAATTAGATATTCCAGGTAGTACTTAAAAAAATTGATAAGCCTTGAGAATATGAACTTACTGAATTATGTATGTTATTTTATATTTGGCTTCATTCTCTCAGGTTCACAGTTAATCGAAGAATCTCTATAGTTGGATTTGGTTTATATGGATCTATTCACGGTCCCACGGATTATCAAGTGAATATACAGGTACACGTTTTCCCCACTATATATCATCTTGAAATATAACAAACATGTAATTTTACAATAAGATATTGTAACTTGACAAAGATGTTGTAATTTAGTAGCATTTTAAGCCTAGAGAGTTCTGTTTTACAAGTGATCAAAAAAATGTAGTTTCAGGGAATTGGTCCAGGAACCCCTCTGTTGGTCCTTCCTGCTGTGCCTTGGCTGGCTTAAGATGCCCCTGCCTTTTCATGGCACTTGAACTCTAGGGCTTGAAACTGTCTGTTTCTTCTAACTCCTGTGAACACCCTCTGGTTTCTGATTGTCTATGCTCCCTGCCTCATCTCGAGATGGGCTCTGCCTCATTTCTTAATCTGGAAGAAGGTTAAATACCGCCTCTTTCCCTTCCAGTAAACCAGTGTTCTGCACCCTTTTGAGGGTACACCCAGTTAGGAAAATTATTTTTGAAACACATCTTCATTGTACTTTTATTTACAAACTATACATATACCATACTGTCCTTACACATAAATTAAAACACAAAAGATAGGAATGAGAAAAGAAAGCAATCTTTCAAACTTTTATCAGCAGAAAGAACTGCCCTTTGTAAAATGTTATTTATATATTATTTTTAAAAGTAAAAACCTAGGTGAGCCCTGTGATCAAAATGCATCATTAGTTTTTGAAATGCACAGCAGTTCAAAGCTCTGATTTGGTGAAAGATATGTCACTACCTCAAAGAGACCTTGTTCCAAATGAAAGAATCTCCTAGATGAAGTCATGTTCATTTTCTAATGCTGTGCACTAAGGATTATAGTGAAATTCAGCTGATAAATTTACATCACTCATGTCAATTTGTCATTCTTACAACACAGTTAGAAAATTACCCTTTTTTTTTTTTTGGTGAGAAGGATTCGCCCTGAGGTAATATCTGTGCAAGTCTTCCTCCATTTTTTGTGTGTGGGATACCTCCACAGCAAGGCTGACGATGGAATAGGTCCATGCCCGGGATCCACACCTGCAAACCTGGACTGCCAAAGCAAAGCACGCAGAACTTTAACCACGCAGCCATGGGGCCAGCCCTGAAAATTACATTTTTAATTTTTTTTTAAGGATATTATTTTTCCTTTTTCTCCCAAAGCCCCCTGGTACATAGTTGTGTATTTTTAGTTGTGGGTCCTTCTGGTTGTGGTATGTGGGATTCTGCCTCAGCATAGCTTGATGAGCAGTGCCATGTCTGCGCCCAGGATTCGAACTGGAGAAACCCTGGGCCGCCAAAGCAGAGCACGCGGACTTGACCACTTGGCCATGCGGCTGGCCCCCTTTTTGTTTTTTTAGGAAGATTAGTGCTGAGCTAACATCTGCTGCCAATCCTCTTTTTGCTGAGGAAGACTGGCCCTGAGCTAACATCCGTGCCCATCTTCCTCTACTTTATATGTGGGATGCCTACCACAGCATGGCTTTCCAAGCAGTGCCATGTCCACACCCAGGATCCAAACCGGCGAACCCCGGGCTGCCGAAGTGGAACGTGCACACTTAACGCTGTGCCACCAGGCCGGCCCTCTGGCCCCCATTTTTAATATTTTTAACAAATAGGTTCAAAACCCACTGAAATTGTTTATTTGACAGATTGTAAAGCAGGTTAGGAAATTCTGTTTCCATCTTTTTAAGTGCAGAAAAACCACAGTAAACCTCTGAAGGGTGTAAAAGATTTTCATGATCACTCCCCATTTCACTTTATATACTTTATAAAAGTGTTGTCAAGATCCTATCCAATGAGATCCAGAAACCCACTTAAGCAGGCTGTCTAGCCTGCAGGCCTGAGAGGGAGCGAGGCCGCTGTCAGCCTTGGCTGGTGTGGAAGCCTGCTCTCCCCCCACTGCACCTCATCCCTTAGCTCAGACACCAGGCTCAGCGCAGACTGAGGGAGGGCATCATCAGGGTCACAGGTGTACTAAGTGGTAAAACGTGAATACTCGGAGTAAACTGAACAGAAATAGGACTTCTCTTTATTTTCTTGCCCCAGTGGCTGGTGTCATGCACCCTCCAGCTACACCACCAGATAGATGGTCTGGGTTTGAGTCTCAGCTGCACCACCTCCAGGATATGACTGTGGGCAAATTATGCCCCTCTCTCAGCCTCAGTTTCCTTGTCTGCTGTGACACTGGTGGTGCCTGCCTTGTGGTTTTGTGGGGACAGTGAGATGCAACGGGTTTGGAACGTAGTCTGTTGCTGTCGTTGTTGCTTGGTCTCATAATTTGACTTTCATAACAGCTTAGGAAGAAAGCAAAGCAAGGTCGCCCCAAATTAAAAGACCACCTGAGGCTCAGAGCAGGGAAGTGCGTTGCTCTAGATCACACTGCTACAGCCACCTGGCGTCGCACTGCTGCTTTCAGGGCACTGTTGTGTTGTCTTTAAAATTTTTTATTGAACTGTGATAAACATAGAGAAAAGTGCATGTTTGTAAGTGGTACATATGGCTTCCTTTTCGCAAACAACACACTTGTCTAACCAGCAGCCAGATCAAGGAACAGGACATCACAGCACCCGAGCCCCCTCATGGTCTTCTCTGCTCGCTGTCCCTGCAGAGGCAGGCCTGCAGTCCTGAGCAGTGGCTGCAGACGTTGGTTTGGCCTGTCTTACGACTACTGTTTTGTCTACTCTGTGCACAAAGGCAGGCTGTGAGCCGCAGCCTCTGCGCGGGTTGCTCTGTGCCCGGGAGCCTGCACCGCTCTCCTCTGTGTAGCCGCGCTCCTGACAGCGAGTTTCCCCTGCCCGCACCGTCTTCTCACGGCTCCGGCTGTGGCACCGGGCCGAGCCGCCTGCACGTCTGCTCTCGTGGCTGGAAACTGCTTGAGGGTGTCCCGCCGTGCCTGGCGCAGATTATGGGACTAGAGTGAAGACAGAATTTTCACATTTTCAACATCCACATACGTAAATACTGCGTTTAAGGTTATTTTAATTTCAGTAAATAACATTTAGACATAGGAAATGCTACAGGAATTTCCTAGCAACAAGACATAGGGTAGCAAGGAGCAAAGGCTCATTTCCCTCAGGTATCTAAAATGCAGACATTCTCGGGGCTGGCCCCGTGGCCGAGTGGTTAAGTTCGCGCGCTCCGCTGCAGGCGGCCCAGTGTTTCGTTGGTTCAAATCCTGGGCGCGGACATGGCACTGCTCATCAAACCACGCTGAGGCAGCATCCCACATGCCACAACTAGAAGGACCCACAACGAAGAATATACAACTATGTACTGGGGGGCTTTGGGGGAGAAAAAGGAAAGAAATAAAATCTTTAAAAAAAATAAAATAAAATGCAGACATTCTCAAAAAACAGTTGTGAGGGCCACCACGGTGGCACCTCAGTTAAGTTCGCATGTTCCACTTCAGCGGCCCAGGGTTTGCCAGTTCAGATCCCAGGTGTGGACATGGCACCGCTTGGCAAGCCATGCTGTGGTAGGCATCCCACATATAAAGTAGAGGAGGATGGATGCAGATGTTAGCTCAGGGCCAGTCTTCCTCAGCAAAAAAAAAAAAAAAGAAAAAAAATTGACAGCAGACGTTAGCTCAGGGCTAATCTTCCTTAAAAAAAAAACCAGTTCCAAAGCCTGGAAGCTCCTCTCTCCTGCAGCCCAGCCCCAGCCCCCTGACATTCTCCCCAGCTTCTCTGCGATGAGTGACAAATATCCATTTTCTGACAGCATGTTGAAAGCCATCTTTGGTGATTAGAGAGAAGTAGAAAAAGTTACAACACAGAGATGTAGTCGTCTACTCTGCTATTCCTAAAGGCTTTATATTCTTTTCTATGAAATTTTGTGTCTGTTGGTTTAACTTAAATGTAACGTCTCTTTTAAAAATTACAGATCATTGAATATGAGAAAAAACAAACCCTGGGACAGAATGACACTGGATTTAGCTGTGACGGGACTGCTAACACCTTCAGGGTCATGTTCAAGGAGCCCATAGAGGTCCTGCCCAGCGTGTGCTACACCGCGTGTGCGACACTCAAGGTACGAGTCGTCTGGGGCGCCACACGGGGAGCCCATAGGGCCCAGCGTTCCTCGGGGCTGTCATGGGGAGTTGCTGACAGAGCCTTTTAGGAAGACGGGGAGGAGGGGAGCTGGGCGCCAGAGCCCCGGTGCTTTGAGAAGAGAGGCGCCTCGGCACAGCTCTGCTCCGGGAGAAAGGGTTCCTCCTCAGCAGCCCTTTGTTTGAGTAGGAGACTGAATGGTTGACGGAAGAGAAAATAATTATTTTCTTAAAACCATTTCACTCTTCCCTAATAGCTGAGTTCTACATTCAGTATTTTTAATCATTAATTAGCTTTGATTCAAAAACTTCATTTTTCATTAAATGACTTGGCATAAAATTTTATACAAGAGCTGTAAGGAAATATAGTAGATCGTTAATCTAATTAAAACACCACATCAAGTTGAGTGCTTATTAAATGAAAATTACTAATGAAGCTTTTGTTCTCGTTTAGGGTCCAGATTCCCACTACGGCACAAAAGGACTGAAGAAAGTAGTTCATGAAACACCCACTGCTAGCAAGACTGTCTTTTTCTTTTTCAGTTCCCCTGGCAATAATAATGGCACTTCAATAGAAGATGGACAAATACCAGAAATAATATTTTATACATAATGTAGCATTATCACACATCTTGCCTAAATAGAACCATACAGTCTAGTCTCAAAGGCATAAAAAACTGGCCACAAAAAGGAGTCTGAGTGTTATGAATATTTATAATTGTAAGATAAGAAACATTTTAGTTTCTTAGAGGAGATAGAAAAACATTGATTTAAATCTCTGCATGATTTAAAGGCAGATTTCCGTTTTCTTATAACCTTAGGGAAAAAGAGAACTGGGTTTAATTATTAAAAAAACCTGCAGCTGTTTCAGCTTTATCTTGTATAATTTCATAGATCAGCTGACTCATGGTCTTTCAACAGTTTTATAATTGAACGATTCTTGTTATATATAAAGTAGTTGTTAGTAGTAGTTTTTGTTTTTGTTTTAACTATTTTGAAGGTTAGATGAGATGGGTATATAGGCTTAGCTATTTTGAAGGTTACTTGAGATACCAGATGCGTCAGTTTTCCTACAGAATTAACTCATTTCAGAAAATTAAGAAAACTGACTTTATATTTGGAGTTTTGAAATATCTGTTGGAATATTGCTAGAAATAGGCCTAATCAATGCCCAAGAAGCTTTTCAGTGCATTTACAGAAAAGGCTATTTTGTAATAGTATAGTCCTCTGTTACATAGTACAGTTTTAAACTATAAATGGCGTTTGTACAAATTCACAATAATGGGATATAAACCGATCTAAAGGTATGGTCTCAGACTGCATCCTTCTCATCCCACTGCACCACTGTCCCTGGCTGTCCGCATGGGGGATGCTGCCGAGAACGCCCGAGACTGAGATGAGGATGGTGACGATGATGGTGACTGGCAGACAGACATCAGTTCATGGTGGTGATAATCTCACACAGCAGAAAATGAAATGAAATATTAACATTTCTAACAACTACTTTGAAATTTTAAAGATAGCCAACAAAATCACTCGTGCTGAAAAGTATACATTCTGTCACCTACACAGTTCTATCCAAGAAGTAAAGTCTGTGTAATGTTCGTGACCTCACTGTCGTCCGCAGCTACAGCTGTATTAGGAGGGGGTAGGAAGGGCATCTGGCAGAATGACATTTATACACTTTTTTGTAAAGCAAAATTTTTATATAAATAACATTCTTTTTTTCCCTTGAAAGTGATTATCTTATAAAAAACTTAGATGTAATTAAGTTTAAGGTATATCAAATAGTTGTGGAAGATGGTTAAAAATCACAATTCTTTTAAGTGTCAAGAATTTTTTCTAAATAATGCTATTTAGGATATAAAAATTCTTCATCTAAAGTAGTATTTCATTTTATATTTTCAAGAAGGTAGCGACGTGTGTTGGTGGCAGAGGTCTCTTCATATTGCTGAAGAAAAGGGAAGTTTTCCTATTTCTGGTAACATGACCTTGGGCGTATAAATCTCAGTTAACTGGAATATCTATGGAATGTGTGGTTCTGGTTAACTAAAGATTAACCAGCAGATATTCTGTAGTAACCATTATGGGGTAGAAAATACTTCTGCCTTAAACAGTATGGTATGCCAGAGACAAGTTGGTCTTTCGATGTTTGAGGCATTTCAGAGGCTTCGAGTGCGTTGCACTGAACGATTGTAATTGAAGGCAGCCATAGCAGGCGCAACAGGACTGTTCACTGATACGGGACATCCCCTGGAATTTTTAAAAAATAAATGTCTATTATCCTTTTATTTTTTTGTCACTTGTCTTTTTCTTCTAAAAATTGAGGGTAAGACAGCATTTTGGAATGAGGATTCTAGTTAATTGAGGTTTAACCTTATTTTTAATTTACGGAAGTAACGCAACACAGGTAAGAATGCTGCGGCTGCCTGGAGGCGGCTCCGCCCAGTGCCACTGCTGCTCTCGGTCTCGTGCTCAGGCTTCCCTCGTCCTGGTCCCCTGGTCCCAGGAGGGCGGGCAAGCAGACTGCTCTTGCTCTTGCTCTGTTCCAGCGTGACGACTGTCTCGCCGCTGTTGCGTGTTGACAGCAGCTGCTGAGTGACAGCTGAGTGGCAGGGTCTGCCCTGAGTACTGTGCACATGCCCTCAGTTGTGTCTCACAACAGCATGAGGGCCGTACTGTTGGAAAACCCATTTCACAGGCAAAGAAATTCCCGTGTAGAAAGGTCAGTAAGTGGTGGGGGCAGAATTTAAACCCAGGTCTGCCTCCCCAGCTCAGCTGGGAAAATACTATTTTGCCGGCTCTCAAAATAACATTTATGTCATCATTCTCACACTTCACAATACGACCCAAAAAGATACTTGGCTCATCTGTATTCACTAGAGTATTTTCTGTTTTTTAAAAGTGTGATTATTCTAGTATCTCCTCAGCAAATTGAGATTATTTGCATTATCAAAGTGTTCTTTCTTGTAGGTCCACATAAGTAGTGGCTGTACTGTTCAAAAAAAAAATTCACCTGAGAACAGACAAGCTTGCAGGACATTAGAGAGCCAGGTCTCCGAACTCACTGTGTTAAATGCAACGTGTCTGAAACTTTCTGTTCCACTTCCCTTTCTAGTGGCTCTCTTTTAAACCACTTTCTTCTCTCTGTTCTCGTCACCCAGGTTCAGAACCTAGGAATCGTTCCTTGCATTAGACAAACTGCACCCTTCATCAGAGGGGATGCGCCACGGTGATCCCAGCCCCAGAGCTACCCGGCTCATTTACTCTCTTGTCTAGCGTGTACACTTTGAAATCCATTTTCCATTTTCTCCATTGGCAAAGCTAAGACAAGATGGGGTTTTTAAATGGAACTCTGCTAAAAACTGAAAGAAGATAGAAAGAAAGCAGAGGCCGGCCCGGTGGCATAGTGGTGAAGTTCACGTGCTCCACTCCGTGGCCCAGGGTTCATATCTGGGCATGGACCTACACACCCACTCATCAAGCCATGCTGTGGTGGCGTCCCACATAGAAAACAGAGGAAGATGGGCACGGATGTTAGCTCAGCTACAATCTTCCTCAAGCAAAAAGAGGAGGATTAGCCACAGATGTTGGCTCAGGGCCAATCTCCCTCACCCAAAAAAAATAAGTGGGAACCAGTATAAACATATTTAGAATGGGTTTTCAGCCATCTGGATCATAGCCCCTCTTCTTCCCCACACCATTGGGCAACATATCTTCCCACCCTGTCTCTTTCCCCTCCAAAGGCAGAGATTTGGGACAGATTTGGGTCAGGTGCATGGTTTCTGGTGGCAAATGGGGCTGATGGCTCCCCCCTCCCTGCTCCCCACTCCCGAGTCCCCTGTGGGAGAGGCGGCACGGTTCTTGGCACCGCTTCCCTGCCTTCACCCATCTAGTCAACTGCCAGATACCATGAATAACTCACCATCGCAAGTGCGCCCTTTGTTTCCCTTGTAACTGTCAGAGCTGTAATTGAGGCTGTCATGACTTAACCCCAATTCTATATGATGCTGATTCAGCTTTTGTGCCTCAATTCTCAAGTGATTTCAAACAAGGAAAGTAGGGCTTTGGTTTAACACCCCGTTCACTTTCTTCTACCAAAGCTGAGTGGCCTCAGAGTCCCTGTGGGGTGGACAGCCCCTCCAAACAGCTTTCCCTTCCTTCCTTACCTCCAGTCACCTTCCCCATTTCACGTCAGCCGCTCCTCATGACCTCGCCGTGCACATTGTCACGTGGACCTGCACTGCCCCTGAAGAAGCAGATTCAGACATCCCGCTCTGCCCACAGCTCTCAGCTGCACTCCAGTTACATCTGTTCTTGAACCTCCAGACTGCCATTCCCTTGACTGTGCTGTGAGCCCTCTTCCTTCCCTACCCAATTAGAGTCCACCTTTGATCTTTTTTTTTTCCTTCTCCACTTTTGATCCTTGATCACTTTAACCACTTCAATAACCCTCAAACCCACCTGGATGAATCCAGTTATGTGCCTTGTCTTCAACTTCCTGGCTACTCAGTCCAGGCATTTAAAATGATCTAACCAGCGGCTGGCCCGGTGGCACAGTGGTTAAGTTCACACCTTCCGCTTCGGCGGCCCAGGGTTTGCCCATTCGGATCCCGGGTGCAGACCTACACACTGCTCATCAAGCCATGCTGTGGCAGGTGTCCCACATATACAGCAGAGGAAGATGGTCACAGATGTTAGCTCAGGGCCAGTCTTCCTCAGCAAAAAGAGGAGGACTGGCAGCAGATGTTAGCTCAGAGCTAACCTTCCTCAAAAAAAAAAATTAAAATAATAAAACCAAAATGATCTAACTGTACAGATTGGACCATGATGATTTCACAGTCTCCAGGTTCAACTAGACCATCTGTGCTGCCAGCTGAGGGTTTCACTAATCAGCTTTTTGCCATTCTCCAGACTACTTAAATCTGTTCCACTCTCCTCACATCTTCAACCCCCTCTCCTTCAGCTAATGAAAGAAAACCCCGCTCCCACCAACCTATAAACACACCAACATGTGCACCTGAGCTTCCCTTCTCTGTGAAAGTGGGGCGTCAGAATTCCTGTTGACACGTCAGTCTCTCCAGCTGCGCCCAGAACCCTACCGCCTCCCTCGGTTCTAACCTTTCCTCTCCCGGCTTCTTCCTGTCAGCACTCAAATATGGTTAACTCTCATCCAGTTTAAAGATGAAAAATGGGGCTTAACGCCACGTGCCCCTCCAGATACGGGTTACCCCTTCACAGTGAAGCTGCATTACTCTGTCACCTCCGTTCCTCCTCTCCACTGAAACTGCTCCTGGCTGGGTCACCAACACCACTCGTTGCTATTTGACCTGTCCTCTTGCATTTGTCACTGTTGGCCACTCCCTCTTGAAGTACCCTTTCTTGGCTGCGTGTATGCCTACATCTGGCCAATGTCCTTCGGGGGCTTCTCTTCCTTCCCTTCGGGTTCTGTCCTGAGCGCCCCCGTGCCCTGCACTCTCTCTCTCTCAGCCTTTCTCTCATCAGCTTCCATGGCCTCAATTAGCATCTATTTTCAGAGGGCTCCAGAATCTATCACTGGCCCAGATCTCTCAAGCTTCAGTTGCCCTTAATATTTCTACTTAGACGTCCCACAGGCATCTCAAACTCATTATGTCCCAAACAGAACAACTCATCTCAGACTCCCAAACCTGGGTATCTTCCTTGACCCTTTACTCATCCCCACATCCAGTCCTTCCCCCAGCTCTGATCACCCCAGTTCCCGAACATCCTTGAAATGATCAGCTCCCAGTTCTGTATCTCCACTGCCACTGCTCTGGACCAGGCCACCGTCTTCCACTTCTGTGGCAGATCTCCCGACCTCTATTCTTCCATGGGCCATTCTGCGGGCAGTGATCTTTCTAAAACAACCAACTGGACTGTACCCATCTTTGGCCTCAGACCCTTCAAGGACTCGGCGATTAGCCTCTGCTGACGTCTCCAGTCTCATCTCCGGCCACATCGCACGTCTGAATGTATTTCCTCCTTTTTCACACGTGGGATCCCCGCGCCCAGCTCGCGCTGGGTGCCCCGTGAACGCGCGGGATGCGCCCGCAGGCTCCGGCGGCGGGTGCCCTCCTTCCACCCGCGGGGCTGTGCGCGCCCCCGGCGGCCGCAGGGGCCGGAAGATGCCTGGCCCTGCGCGCTCCCTGCCGCTCGCTCCAGTCCGTCTTCCCAGGACGGTACAGGAGCCCGGAGGCACACGGCCCTCCCGCCGCTGGTGGGGAGGGGTCAGGACGCGACCGGAGCCACTTTCCGCCTCCGGGGCCAATTTCCAGGAGGGAGGGGCCCGCGCAGGTCCTGGAGGAACGCGGAGGCCTGCCCCGCCAGCCGGCAGGGGGCGCGCTCCGACCGCAGCAGACACGTCCGCCGACCCGCAGGGCCGCTCCCGCTCGATGTGCGCAGGCGCAGAGGACTCTTCCGGCGGGGCCGGTTCCCGCTCGCAGTGCGCAGGCGCAGAGGGCTCTTCCGGCGCCTGTCCCCGCCTCCCGGCGGGGATGCTGCGGTCGCTCTTCGGGCTGGGGCGTCTACCCGCCGGACCTGGTGCTGGCCCCTCCGCCCGGCTCGCTCGGGCGCCGAGATGCCGAAGAAAGCTGGTGCGACCAATAAGGCCAGTGGCAGTGCCGTGGCGGTGGGACCGCGGGCGGGACAGGGTGCTCCCTGGGTCCCGGGCTCCTGCTGCCGCCGCCCCCGACGGTCCGCCCGCGCCTCGTGCTCGGGCAGCGCCGCCGGGCCGAGCTTCCTGAGGCTCCTCTCCGCCTCGCGACCCGCCGAGGGCGCACCGCCCCCCGCTCCTGCGCTGGGCCCGCGTCCCGGCGCTGGGCTGCCTGCCCCGCTCTGCGCTGGAGGCCCTTAGTGTGTCAGGGATGTGTGTCCCCTCCGGTCGCCGCAGCCCGCGCTCCTCGAGGGCAGGAACGTGCGTCCCTACTCATCTTTACGTGCCCTTTGCCTGCATCCCGCCCCAGGCCTTAGATCCTGTCTGTGGAATGAAAAGTGCCTAGCACAGCTTCTGTCGCATAGTAGGGCGTTCAGCATCACCGTCCCCCCTTCCTCTCCGCCCTCCCCGCAGATGCACGCGCAGACACTTCCAGCCACAGGTGTTCACAAACCTTTATTAGTTCGTGCCGCATGAGCTACAAAGATGAATAACAAATGGTCTCTGCCCCGAGGAACGGGAAATGCAGAGCACACGGTGGGAGCCAGCACGAGGTGCGGAAGCCAGAGTCGGGTCTTCCAAGGCAGGAAAGAACGCTTTGTGGGGTCCGTGGGAAGGCTTCATGGAAGAATTGATTTGAGCCATGAAAGGTGTTGAGAAATCATTCTAGGTGGTCAGAAGTTCCTGGACACGACTGATGAGCATCGTTTCTCTTGGTTAAGGGTGAAAGGGCGGTAGTGGAAGGGTCAAATGTGTGGGGAAATATTTTGTAACCTGTGAAGTTGTAGCGTGGTGGTCGTTGTCGTTTTAGGGTAAAAGCGAGAGCAAGAAACCAGAGACATCACTTCCTCCCTTAGGTCCTGTGGCAGCTGATCCTAAAGGTTGTGTCACCATAGCCATCCATGCCAAGCCTGGTTCCAAACAAAACGCTGTAACAGGTATGTCTGGACACTGAGGTGGGAGTCACGTATCAATCAGTGTCCCTCCACCCCGCCTCTGCCTGGTTCGCTGGAAGTTTACCCTGTGTGGTCGAGGGCATTTTCACACCTGCAGTTAGAGGCTTCTCCACTGTCGGACTCTAGATTCTAGTGTAAAGGTGTAAAGCCAGTGTTGAAGAGTGAATGTGTAATATTTAAAGCATACCAAGCTAGACTAAAAACTATTGAATCTTTTCCTTTTTAAAAAATATGGTATTTTGGGGCTGGCCCAGTGGCACAGCGGTTAAATTTGCACGTTCTGCTTTGGTGGCCTGGGGTTCACCAGTTCAGATCCCAGGTGCGGACATGGCACCACTCATCAAGCCATGCTGTGGTAGGCGTCCCACGTATAAAGTGGAGGAAGATGGGCACAGATGTTAGCTTAGGGCCAGTCTTCCTCAGCAAAACGAAAGAAAAAAAAAAAGGAGGAAGATTGGCAGCAGATGTTAGCTCAGGGCTAATCTTCCTCAAAAAAAAAAATAAGGGTATTTTAGAAATGACACATAGAGAAAATGTGTAGCCTAGATTATTTTTAGTTTGTCCTATTACAAACTGGAGACATTGGCCAGAGAAAGAAAGCAGAGACATCTCGGTCGAGTGTAATGACCGGTAGTCTGAGGAGGGAGAGAACACCTGAGCTCTGAGAGCCCCGACCAGCAACCTGTATGCACGTGTTTTAAATCACAACAGTAGAAACATTTCTGGGCCCAGTCCCTTCACCTGTCAGATGAGATCACTGGGTTAAGTCATTAGGCTTTCAGGCTATTCCCTGGAGCCCAGGAGCCTCCGGAATCTCTGAGGGGGCGAGGGAGGCCGCAGACAGGGCTCCCGAGTGGCTGTGTTCACATCTAAGTGCTGGGATTCCCGGGGAAATTAGGGTGGGGGGGATTCTGGGTGGGGAGAAAGTTTGAAAAACATTGATCTGAATTATCTTGAAGGTCTTTTTCACCTCTAAAGCTCTGTATTCCAATTAAAAAAAAATATTTTGAAAACAAGACCTCAGAATTGGGGCGCTGGGCCTGGTGTGTGCTAATGGCCATGTTAGCTGGCCACGGCTCTGCCCTCCTTGGTCAGCATTTTCTAAGTGGTCCCTGTGGGCACTGTCTACTGTTGGACACCAAGTTTCATCAAATCTAAGATGCCATCAACCAGAAGGTACACGGGTATGTTATGTACCAGTAAGTAGGACAAAACCCATATGAACTAAACACTTTTCCATCTATTGTAGGACACATCTGGATTTCAAAGATGATAGAATGTGAAAAACTGTATTTTAGAATCAGTGACAGGATAGGAGATTTGCTTTCCCCCCTCATTCCCGTGGCTCCTGCGGCCACGTCGTTTCCTCGGGTGAGGCCCAAGTGTGGGAGCCCGAGCAGCCGCAGCTGTGGCCCACGCAAGCTCACTCGCACGCTGCCCTGAGTAAATGCTCTCCCACGAGTGCAGTGCGGACTGCAGGCGGCGGCTTTTCATAAAGGCTGCACGGATGAGGGGCCCGCACCACTCTTCAAAAGCGACTCCTTGTCCCGGGATTTCAGAGTGTTGCAACTTTATTTTTGAATCCCATCATCACTTTCTAGCCATGTGACCTTGGGCACATTACTTCTCAATTCCAGTGTCCTCGTCGTAAAATGGAGATGATAATGGTATTACTGGTTTCTTCCTAAAGTGGTTATGAGGGTTAAACCAGTTAATGTTTGTAGAGCACTAAAAACATGTCTGTGTGCCCTTGGGGTATGTAAGTGCTGTGTAAATGTTTAAGTAAATATTACACTTGAAAAACATTAAAGAGGCATTTCACGTAAGCGAGGAGTCTAGCCCGGTGTCCTCGTTCTCCTGATGAGGACACCTGGACGACCCCGAGAACCCCGTGAGCTGCCTCGGGGCCACTGCAGGGTCAAGCCCAGCTCCTGACTCCCTCCTGGGCTCTGCCTGTTCCACTCTCCTTGGCTGCCAGCTGCCTGAATCCAGGACGCTGCCCAGCACTGTAGGCCCATCCTGGTCAGCAGGGTGGGTAAATAGCACTTTTCTTCGGATTTCTTTTCCGTGATGGTGGAGGCACGGTTATCATGTTTACGTTCCCTTAAGTGTGATCAGTTTAATCATTTCTTCATTCAGCGTTATTAACTGAAAACTGTGTGCCAGGCAAAGGCAAACGCTTGTACAGAACAGCCTCACTTCCTGAAGAACGCAGGGATCAAGTCCGCACTGTTTTCCTTGCAGATGTGACGGCCGAGGCTGTGAGTGTGGCCATTGCTGCGCCTCCGTCGGAAGGAGAGGCGAACGCGGAGCTCTGTCGCTACCTCTCCAAGGTCCTGGACCTCAGGAAGAGTGATGTGGTTTTGGATAAGGTGGGACTCTCTACGTCTTTGGTTATTACACATCAGTCATTATTTTTAAAAGACTGATTTTTTTCTTTTCCAAATAATTGAAAAGCCAGTTGTTTTTAACTCAGATTCATTTAATCACTAAAATCTGTGAATTCTTCCTAGTCTCCTTCATTCATACTGTCTCAATCCTTATTCAGACTGTCCATACTCTTATATTCCTTAGTTGCCACCATTTCCAGCATTTTCTCCCTTCTCAATTCATTCCTGTACCTGCTCTGTCAGATTAATCTTGCTCATCTCTTCCTTCAAGTCCTCACCATACTAAAAAATCTAAATGGTTCCTGTTGATTGTCATGCCCATTAGTAAGTCCATCAAGTATCTCTGGTCCCACATTATCCGTCCTCACCAGGAGCAGCTCAGTAGGACAGAGAAAGCTCATATGAAGTCATTAATACCACAGGCCTGCAGTGGGGCGGGTCTGTCACTGGGGAATGGTTTCTAAAACACAGGCCCCTGGGCATTGCCCTCGACTTGATGGAAGCGAGTCTGCAGGTGTGAGACGCAGCCGCATGCATGGTTCTTAAAGCTCTACTCGTTTTCTGGCGCTGCACTGTACAGCGCCCTCGAGGGGCAAGCGGGCACTCAGTCATTGATTATGGGCTGCACCTAAACATCCATCCGATCGGGGCCTCCCCTCAGCACCCCGCCTGGGGCAGGTCACTTCTGATTTTCTGCCAGCGCACATGCTTGGCATTTGCCTGGATGCACTTCCCACTCCGCTGCCTGTGCAGCTGCTCCCCAGCTAGATAAATCCCGGCTCAGATTGTACCTTAAAGGATGTGTTTCCAAACAGATCCTTTTTAAACTTGTCGTAAGTGGTTGTGGAACTACAGCACTTGGATTTGTAGTTGCTTTTTGTTTGGAGTTTTCAGAAATGTGTAACAGTATAGAGAATAGCAATTTTTTCTATATTTGGAACTATTTTTATTTAAAGCTTATATAAAACTGCAATATTTGTTTTGGTAATTTAAAAAACTTCCACTTTTAATTTAAACAAAAGAATTACTTGAAACCAGAATATTATATATCTGGACTCCCTAGTCATTTTGACATTTTAATACCCAGCTTTTATTATTACAGAAATTGATGTATGAAGGAAAAAACCCTGGAGAGTTGTAAAAGTTTGTAGTAAGGTGGAATCTAAGAGAGAGTCTTTGGCTAGACCAGATGACGAGGAGAAAGTGGCAGAGAAGCTGTCAGGACAGCTCTGGTCCCCTCACCCTCCCGGCGAGGGCTGCTGTCTCTAGCAGCGGGAGAAAGTTTAGTGTGTTGTCCTGACACTGTCTGTTCCTTTTGGTCCAGGGTGGTAAATCTCGTGAAAAAGTGGTGAAGCTTTTGGCCTCCACAACTCCAGATGAGATCTTGGAGAAATTAAAAAAGGAAGTCGAAAAAAAATAAAAGCAAGAAATGATAAGTGCATCCCTGAGGAACTTTTTAATTGCTGCTGATGAAAAAGCTGCTAAATAGGAAAATACCTTTAAATGCACAGAACATGGAGAAATAAGAACAGGACTCAAAAAAGTAGGAATTTTGAAAGTACTGAACATTGACTATAGCTCCTAAAACCCCTGACCGCGAACAGCCTGGAACGCGTTACTCAGACTTCATCGCGTCACAGAATGACAGAGCGGAAAGGATGTCCAAGATGCCCTCTTTCAGCCCTGTTCGTTTCCTGATGGGGCTTCTGACGTCCAGAAGTGGAGAGACTCGTTCAGGATCACACTGTGCAAGATGGCAACTAGAACCCAGATCTCTCGACTCCTAGTTGAGTGCACTTTATCCTGATTGTGGACTGCCTTCTAATCCAGTTTATAAGTGACAAGTCACACTGCTTTGTAGTCTTTATATTTTAAAATGCTTACCTAAATGCAAAAATTTTTTCTGCGTCATTTTAAAGCTGTAGTGAGCATTTTGTGAAAAAGTAAATAATAATCAAGACTTGTCATTTAATGTTAATTACCGGTTTTGAGAAGTCACCGAATGTTCTTCCTCCTTGGATGGTAACTGCAATCATCAAATCTAGTAGTTCTTATGCATCTCCAAAGATCCTTAGAAGAAGGAGGACCTGGAAGCTATTTTCAGTATTTGTAAAAGCCTATCAGAAATCATATCTAAGCTTCAAAAGCTAATAAATATCTTGTTTTAAATGTTCAGTGCAAATTATAGTGATTTGGTAAGGTGAATAATAACTTGGTTGCCTTGGTTGTCAGAAGAGCTAATGTGCAGTTGTGTGCTTTGTCTAAGTACGTAAGAAAACGTATTGATAGACAAAATTTTTAAAAGTACAAAATCCACCAGAAGGACCCACAGTGACAATTCCTGATGGTGAAAGAGCTGGGGACACTCATCCAGTCAGCTCTTACTCTGTTCATAGGAACCAAGGACAGGAAAAGTTAGGTCACTGTACACTGGACGGCAGAGCGCGGTGACGCTCAGCTGCCTTCTCTTCAGAGCCACTGGCCACACCACCTCGAGCTGTGCTTGTGTGACACGGTCATGGATAAGAACTTTCCCTGCTCTTTCGTCTCTGTCCCAGGATGTGCTCTCAAGGCGTTTGACTTGTGGTTTTCCCAGGGATCGCTGTTGGTCAGGATGCTTTTCTGGACAAGGAAGAGAAACCCAACTCGAGCCAGCTTGAAAAGTAAAGGGCTATGAGCTCATATGCCCGGCAAGCGCAGGAGCAGGGCTCACTCAGGATGGGTTTGATTCAGCAGCCCAGGGATGTCAGAAAGGACCCGACTCACGTTAGCAGTGCCAGCTTCCTCCTCAGGTCCGCTTCCTTTACGGAGGTAAAATTTAAGGCAGCAGTTCCAGGCTCCATGTCCACAGGTTACCCCCTCCAGGAGGGAAAACGGCTCCTCAAGAGCTGTGGTGTTTCTTTTCCAAAAGCTCTCATTGGCTTTATCTCAGACCAAGTGAGGTCACACGAAGTTTCCAAACCACCCCAATTGTCGGGGTGCCATGCTGTGACACCAGTTACCTACACCAGCGACTGGAGGAGGATTACCCTAACTGTTCTAGACTAATCAAGGCCCATCCTCGAGCTGGAGATGGGGCCAGCCTACTCAGAAAGCAAAGGAGTGGGTAGAGAAGTAGATCTCTGAACAAAAATTGAGAAAAGTTATGGAGAAAGGACTAGATGCTGGATAGGAATCAACAAATATCCATCACAGTAATCCACTTACTTCACTTTAAATGGCCATATTTTAACATAGGAACTTTATTGCCTGATTTTTTTTTTCAAGAAACAGACTTCTCTCTCAATAAAGATACATCTAATGACACTTTGTCATCAGAAACTTGCTGGAGGTAGGAACTAGCTCAGGAGCTGTGTGCGAGGACAGGATTTCCCATTCCTCCTCAGCAAACGAGGAAGCCTTCAGCAGTCTAATGCCTTCTCGTCCCACACAGGGCCCTTCCCCACTAGTGAGCACCACCGCTAAGGCCTGGGCACCTCCATCTGCTGCGGAAGTTTAGTTAATGCGGCCTTCTTCAGCCGGCCTTTGTCTTCCAGGAATACTCAGGCAGGGCCAGTGACCTAGGACCAAGGACTCAAAATCGCCAACCCCGATAGCATTTGTCTAACATGATTCTAGCCTGCCCACCCCTGTTAATTTTAGGTGACTACCCGCTCGACAGTCTATAAAGTGACTTGATTACACCGCCTTTCTTGTCCTGTGTCGCGGGCCCAGCCTCAGGCAGCCCATGAATGAGGTCTGAAGGATACTCATCCAGCTCTGGTGACTGGTGTCGTGGTGATAGTCTAGCACTGCATCTGCCGTCTGTCACCCCCACCTGAATAAATGAGAAATTACTCCTGCAAAAATGATTTATGAGTAATTTATTAATAACTTGGGTGCCTACTATTGCCAGGTGCTGCTAGGTGCTTTGCCTACACTACACACTGACAGAACTGAGAAGCAAAAACCTGCTCACCCTTGCACAGAGGCCGGGACAGAGAACTTGGACTCCTGCCTCCTGGGGCCATTCCCCACTCCTTTGCCAGCTGGGGGAGGGCGAGAGGACCCGAGGATGAGGCTGGCACGTTTGCAGTGTTTCAAGTTCCAAACAGCTAAAAACTCAGCACCTTCAGGAGGCAGGTCCTTTCTGGACTGGGCGACCAGCACTCTGGCTCTTAGCAGAGTTCAGGATGTGGTCATGTGGTTCCTCGATGGTCATTTAGAATATAAAGTTTCGAACCCACGATGGCTCCCACTTCAGGTTTTCTTAGTGCACGCAACTAGAGGCTAAAATTTAAGCAGCTAGACTTCAATTTTATATCCAAGAGGTGGCACCACAATGCCACAGCAGAAAGTCACAGAATTTGAAGGAACTGACCCTTCCTTCCTTTGAAGTGGGCTGTGCTCGGGCAATCCCTTCTGTAGCGCCCGACTCCCAGCGTCACGCACTCTGATCCTTCTTGTCAGGTCTTCTTGGAGCCGTTCCTCAGGCCTCTCCCCTCAGGGGTGGGGTTAATGGCCCAGCACTCACCGGGGCCCAGGAGTGCAGGGCAGTGCTTCACTGCTGCCCACACGGTCCTGAGTGCCTCTCCTCGTCCTGCAGCTTTCGGGAATCCCACTCAGGCAGTGTTTTTGAAACGGAATTAGGCTGGGCAATTGGCAAGGAACTAATTTCTAAACAAGATGCCACTTTATCCACAGTGAAGAACACATCTGCCAAACAGACTGTGGTGGGATCCTCTAGGGAGTATGTTCTGTCCCTTTGGGAAATCTCTCCAAGAAGCCAGTCATCATCTGAAGGCCGCTTAGAGAGCTCGGGATCAGAGCCAGGGACACTAGGGGTCAGGGCCAGGGTGCTCTGCCCATCTGGAGTTCCCACTAATGCTGCAGGGATGGGCCCACTGTATCAGCCCCTCTCCTGGGACAACACGACACTGATGCTTCAGAGCACAGCAGCTCCCTTTTCCCAGGCTCCAGGAAGACCACCTACTTCTGCCCACACAGGCCTCCTTCAGCCAAGCCTTATGATTCAATTGAGAAGGTTATCAGCATTTCATCATGCTACTCGAGCTGCCTGCCACAGGCTCCATGCAGGCCCCTTGATCCTAGAGTTTAGGCAGGGGGAATCCCCAAACTTGCAGCACAGCTTACAGAGCCCACGGTCATTCCTACATGAAACTCATCTCATGCAGGATGTGGTTTTACCATCGCAGTGGCTTCCATTGTTTCACAGCCTTAGTTTCCCCAGAGGTACCTCGGGGGGTCGGAGAATGAGGGAGTGAGTCAAGACAACCGAACTGCTTCCAAGCCTTTAATCCTCTTCTAGAACTGTGCTGCCAACACAGGTGGCTACTGAGCACTTGAAATGTGGCTGATCAAGTTTAAAAATAAAAGCATCATAGAAATAAAGGCCATGTTAGAAACAACGCAACAGAGAAGAGGCTGAACACATGGCATGGAATTTAGATGGCAGGACAGAGAAAGGTGAGCAAAGAAAGGAAAATAACAGAAGTCAAACAAAGCAAAATCAACACATATATAATTGGCATCCTGAGGAAGAGAGCAAAAAAAATGGAACAAAGATTTAAAGATATAATCAAAAAAATACTGAAGAAATAAAAGATGAATATAAGGAATAAAAAGTGCAGTGTCCCAGATGAAACACTGGCAAAGAATGATCAACGAGACACAACCTAGGAAAGTTCTCTCATTTCAAAAATAAAGCCTGTGGCCGTCTAGACAAAAAGTAGAAGGGGCTGGCCCTGTGGCATAGTGGTTAAATTCACACACTCCACTTCGGCAGCCCAGAGTTCGCAGGTTCGGATCCCAGGTGTGGACCTATGCACCACTCATCAGGCCATGCTGTGGCAGCATCCCACATACAAAATAGAGGATTGCAATAGATCTTAGCTCAGCGACAATCTTCCTCAAACAAAAAGAGGAAAATAAGTAACATATGTTAGATCAGGGCCAGTCTTCCTCAGGGGGGAAAAATAAAGTTGAAGTCCTAGGGAAGGAGAGGGGAGACACATACACACATTCATGTTGCTGATGGGAATGTGAATTGCTACAGTGTTTTAGAAAATGTGACAGCATTTATTAAAATTAAAAAAACAGGTCTTTTAACCCAACTTTTGAGAATACCTCCCAGAACACATAAAAATAAAAGCGCCAAAGAATATATGAACAAAAGCAATGCAGGATTGTTAGCAAGGGCAAAAAAGAGAAAATGTCTACCTATAGCAGAATAATCATATATCAGTGGCAAATCCACACTACAGAATATTGTTATGAAAATTAAATCATTAGTTTTTAATCTATAGCTGCTGACTTGGAGTGATGTCTGTTATATTCTGTTGCATGAACAAAGGATAATATACATGTGTGTGTATCTATATAATATAACCTGACTTCAGTAAAAAGAGGAAAAATATATGTCTATCTAGTTTATGTGTGTGTGGGCATGGTGAGAGAGCAGCAGACACAGCAGACCTAATCACAGGATGGATGCAGATTCTTCATATTTGTACTGTTTGACTTTTTATATTTATCATTTTGTATACACACAACATATGAAGGCAATTTTAAAATGAGAGAAACACACAAAAATGAACAAGCTCTGGCCTTTAGCAATTAGAGCAGCTTTATTTACCTAATTCAGACAGAGGCTGGAGATCCCTTAGGGAGCTAAAGGCACTGGCAGTGGAAAAAACCATGAGATCATTCTCGCGTCGTCCCCTGAAGCTGTCCCAGGAGAAGACGTGAAACCCAGAGAACATCTCACTGGTAATTAATACATGGGCGCTCTGTGCCCCTCAGGGACAGGAAGGAAAACACCAACTGAATTAGCCCATCAGCCCACAGAGACGCTGGTCAAAGGTCCACCTGGCGCTACCCCACACTGCTGCTGGAAGCCCACGCCTCACGCTGCACGGGCACCTAGCGTGTGCCCACCAAGTGCAGTACTTGATGCAAGCGCTTTCACGTAATCCAGCCAGGGGGCAGGCTAGTCACAGACTAGCCGTCCTCTTCATTACCTGCTCCTCCCATACCATTCTGAGAATCTCAGAATCTGAGGGTATCATCCACAGCGCTCTCCACTTTCCAAGTCTCACGGCACTGCTCGTTCACTCCTCAGACGAGAATGTTTCTCCGCACCGAGAGGCTCAGCAGTGCGGCAGCAGCTGACGCTCCTCTTCTACTCTGGCGTATCCTGATACAGCGCAGCCAGACTGACTGAGACCCAGGCCGCCGGCTTGGCCCAGGGCCCTTCTCTCCCACAATATCCACACGTCAAGAGATCTCTGCTCCCATCCCTCTTTTCCCCAAAGCTGGCCCTAGTAGAGGTCAACCAGACTTCTAGAAAGGAGGAAATATTTGCTCTCAGGGCTACCCTGGAGTTGGTATAACCTCCTACTTAAATCTAGTTGTTGATCTGGCTCCATAATAATGTAATACAGCAGGAGACAGGAGAAATCTTTGTTTAGATGTTAGAGAATGTCACATCTGAGTATATCTGAATCCTGAAGTATTAATCTAAAAACTAACATCAATAAATCCTATTTACTCCTGTTGGTCTTAATCCCTTCTAAATTAAAAACTAGAGGATTGTAAAAGTATACGTTTCTAAGGAAACAAAGGAAAAATTCTCTGAGTGACCTATATAATTAGGTTTTTCACACAGAATTAACCAAAGTCTACTTAGTATTTCAAAGTCCCCATTTATATATATATGTAATATATAGCAAATATGCTTCTTTGGTTAAAATATAAGATAGTCAAAGAAAAATCCCAAATAAGCTTTTCAGTGAATGGTTTATAATACCTCAGTTTGTCTACCATTACCAACGTAAGCACTTTCCCAAGTAACACTTGCAGCTAACTGATATTATTAAATAGTACTACGAGCCACCTCAAGCTGGAAGTATTTATTTCTTACATTTCCTAATGAAAAAGAATTCCCTTTCACTATAAACAATAGTGCTCATTAAAAGAAGTGAAAGGCCCGGGGAATAGATTTCCACACAAAGCCAAACCTGTTTGGACTGAGTCAAATGGAATAGAAAGTCTAGGAAGATTTTTAAGGTGTTAAAAAGCTGTATTTAGAAACAAAGAGTAGTGCTAATAAAGAGTTCAAAATGAGTAATATCAGTCACCTTCAGGGCAAAAGATCAGTTCCTTCCAGTTTAGTATTCTACACTTAAAACTGACATTTCATTACTCTTAATTCTATCATAAAATTCTGTATGTTCCTTTAGGCAAATAAAGTAGAAAGGGAAAATGGCATCCTGTCTGTTGAGCACTGTCTTATAAGGAACGCAGCTCTGGAAACCAAAGCCTTGCTAGAAATCTCACCGGACGTCTTTTTCCCGTATGATTTCAAGAACCCAGAAACTTCTGAGACCAGTGATCCATGGTTATCACATTTTGGATAACCTCAAATCCTCCTCACACTCAGGGAACAAAGAAAACAAGTTCTGTATCTCAAGTCCCCAGGAAGCTGGTCTCAAAAGGACATTCATCTGATGTGTTCCATAATCAACATTCAACATCTTAACGGCAGTGCCAATTTCCAAACAGCAAAGGCTACTTATTTTAGCTCAGCTTTCACAGAAACTTTCTTCCGTATCTAAAGTGTTTGTTATTTTCTGAAGGATTTAATTTCTCCTTTTGCTAATTCATGTACTAAATCACATAAGAATCACAAATCTTTAATTCCGAGTCTCCTGCCCTACCTCATCTCAGTCACCCTGCATCCTTTACACCAACAGTATGTTCTGCAACTTACCAAATACTCTTTCCCACTGATTCAAAAAATGTTTATACAGCACCACTTATGGGCCACTGAGGGGTTAATGGTCACAAGCTCTAGTTTCTACTCTCAAGCTCTGGTAAGTTGGTCATTTATCTTTATGGCAATCCTGTAAGAACAGCAGGGTGGGTATTATCCCCATTTTTACAGGTGAGCAAAAAAGCTCAGAGTCTAAGTGATTTTCCAGGGTCACATACCTTGCAAGCACAGGACTGGACACCAGGACTCCTTATGCTTAATGCTATATAGTATCACAACAGACTATTTGAGATTAATTCCATTTGACACTATTTTAATTCTTTCTTCTCACTCTTAAATTACCCTTAAGTTTTTTTGATGTTGCTTTCTGTCTCTCCCACATGAAGCAGAAACCATGTGTTTTATTTCCTCCTGGTTTTTTTTTTTTGAGGAAGATTAGCCCTGAGCTAACTACTGCCAATCCTCCTCTTTTTGCTGAGGACTGGCCCTGAGCTAACATCCATGCCCACCTTCCTCTACTTTATATGTGGGACGCCTGCCACAGCATGGCTTTTGCCAAGCAGTGCCATGTCCACACCTGGGATCTGAACTGGCGAACCCGGACCGCCGAGAAGCAGAACGTGCGAACCTAACCACTGTGTCACCGGGCCGGCCCCTTCCTCCTGGTTTTACACATACAGAGGCAGTCTGATGGTGACTGCTGTTTAAAAAAAAGGGAAAGAAAAACCACCACCACACAGATTACTCATGCAGAACGCAGAAATAACTCATGATAAAAGAACTCTTACCATATTTTCAAGCAAGGCTGATACAGTAGGGTACATGTAGCCTGAGTATCAGTGTTAAAATAGTTAAATACTGTGGGAAAATAATCTTTCTTCTGAGGTTCCTGAGATGCACCCTTCACTCCAACCCTACTCCGTGGACCCACAGATCTCCTTAATTAGTGCCAAGAGCTGACAGAGCAGAGGGCCCCCAGGATCCTGTTCTAACGCTCCCGTCAGCTACTCCCAACTGGTCAGTGCCTGTGTTTTATCAATTGAAAGCTATTTTTAATAATCCATCTGCTTTCAGAGAAGATCTTGGGGTGCAGTCAGGCCATTCTTAGTTCTCTAGGCTAAGTATTAGTAGCATCAAGACCTACCTTTATGTAACAGCACTGGCTTACTGCCTATTGACGTAATTAGAGGGGTACAGGGAAAACCCTTATCTTATTGTTTAAATTCTATTTACTTCTCAGTGTGACTACCTAGTTTATTAATTAGATCCTTTACAATAAAATAGTTACCTGAAAGGATGGCTCTTCAGGAAGTGGGGGTGGAGGGGAGAGCTGGATCCAGAACATGGAGAAGTCAACCTCAACGGCCTAGGTGGGAATGCTAAGAGAGAAGGCAGATTTAGGAAGCTGCCTTTTAATTCCCTTGCCTTATGATGAAACTTGTACTTTTAATATTACTCTTAAACCAAATGAACCATTTTCAACAGATATGAAGGACAGAGTAATAGAAATCAAAAAGCTCATCTCCCCACATTAATGAATGGGCTAATTGCCAAAACTTGACAGAGAAATTGCTTAATCTTACAAGTATTTTATTTGAATAATCTTACAAGTATTTTATTTGAATAAAACCACTGTAATGGCCATTAAAATGATTTGAAATATAATGATCACTCTGAAAGGAAGTTACAGCATTACTGTATTTACAGAATAGGAAGCAGCAAAGGTGCACATATGGAAGTGAACAGAACATTGTGAAATCAACCCACATTAAATACCATAAGAATAAGCAGAGTCAAAATGCAGCATCATTTACACGATTGAAAAGGAAAAGGGAAACATTACAGTTAAACTTTTGTATAACATATGGATTTTGACCTGCTACGTTTCTAAGTTGGCAAAAAGCCTTAGAGTTTGTACAAAATGACTGCGTGCCCTAATCCGACCCAGCACTAGACCAAGACACTGAAGCTGAGAGCGACTCCTTCCTCATTTTACGGCTTCACTCTTGATGTCCCTCTAAAAAGAGACCAAAGGGTCGTGGGGCTGACTCAGACCTATACAGTAAGTAAGTACACAGCACCAGCATCACATAACAAAAACAGCCCAAAGAAATACACCATAATCGTTCCACCCTCCGCCTGCTGATGTCATGTACATTACAAGTAAGCACAGTTGTGCATTCAGGAGTCGACCATACCAACCTAAGATTTTAGGAATGAGCACATTCGAGTATATGGATACTTCCTTATCTTACAAAGTAAAAGCAAGCATTTTCTATTTTAAAGTTTTTATTTCTGTGTAAAACAGAACTCCTGGAGGTCAAACAAGTCATGAAACAAATAATCTGAGGTAGAGGTCAAGTGATATAAGCCACAACCTTTTTAGGGGAGTATTTATTCTGGGCAACTATCACATCTCTCTAGTAAGATCTAATTTTTTTTTAAAGTCTCAAGTTCCAAAAAATTAATAATCCACTCTCTGAAATGAAGCTGTAAAACTATGGCCAACAGAACACGCGCGCGCACCGGCGTCACGTTAACATAGTAAGTGGCTGTACTGCAAGCTGCTGACACTCCTATTAGTAGTAGCCGTACGGAGGCCGCTGGTTATAACCACAGTGTCCATACTGGTGGGGGTAATACGGTTCTTGTCTGTGCTGTGGGTAATTGTTACCCCAGGATCGTCCATGCCACTGATTGGATCGATTGTCACTTGGCCACCCCCGTCTGCCATCCCTACCTCTAAACTGTCTGTTATCTTGCAACCTACAACAAAACAAAAAGATTTTTATATTTCTCTTTAAAAAAAACAGATGACAAATCTACCTCAGTGCATTTTATTTCTCAATTGAATACTCAGTAAACAAGAGAGTAATAAATGTTTTTCTCTACAGAATGTTACAGCACCAGTTATTCAAAACTTTCCTAGTATTTAAGTCATTCTCCCAGTATGATACCAGATACACTTACAGAGGAGGAGGCAGACTGCAACACCAAAACCAAAACGACAGGACAGTTTGGAAGCAAACTGAGATCTGTTCAGTTGTACAAAAGCAGTAATTTATTCTTTCTATTTTGAATTATTAAATAGAAGTAACCTCCATTGTATAAACTTCTTTCTAAAGTGAAACCAGAAACAATACCTTCTTTATGGAATTTAACACAAAGTTTTGTAGAAGACTCTGGGTTTTGAAAGTATGTTTCCAAAGAAAATGAAACAGTCCACAGAAAGAATATTTTTTAAAAAACATTAAAACACACAACTGAACAGCAAGGAAAAAATATATGGTGCTGACAAAATATTAAAGCAAATATTCAGGAGCTGCGTACTCGGCAGGCACTGTTCCAGGCACCAAGCACACCCACTGAGGAGAGCACTGGCCCCGCCTCACTGGCCTGTGGGCTGGTGACGAGGGCCACACTCTCCCAGCCTAGCCAGCTGCATGTCTCCCTCTGGAGAGATACGTACCGGTTGCCTCGATTCCTGTGGCTCCCACCAGCTCTGCTGTTCCATTCCTCAACAATTGGAGGGGACTCAGGAGGGCGTTTCAGGTACTCCTGGTACTCTTTGTCATCTTCTGTGAATCTACTGGCAAACATCTCTTCAAAACTTGGAACAGCTTCAGAAGTGTCAGTCATTCTGAAATTCTTACAGTTTTTAATATCTATTAGAATTTTTTTTAAAAAAAGAGCACTATCTTATCAGACGGTGAAAAACCAAGAAGCGAACAGGCAGGGCATCCATAAAAGTCTGTGTGTACTTTTAAATTTAAGACAGATTTTAGACATTCAATTTAGTACTTCTTGATTTCTGTCATATAGGCTTTGTGCTAACTAGGAGCCGGATACAAAGATAAACACTACATCATGGACCCTGCACCTAGAGAGTGCTCAGTCTAGCAGGAGAGACGGGCACGGTGTAAATACAAAGGGAGGAGCAGTGAACATCAGGAAATGAAGCTGGAAAAGCAGGCAGGGGTCAAACTGACAAACTTTGTGTCCAATGCAAACAACTTTGCACTTTTTCTGGTAGGAGATGGGTTGTCGTAGGTGGTTTAAGCAGAGAGGTCTCCAGAGCAAATTTACTATTTAGAAGGATCACCTTCCAACAGCGGAGAAAATAGGTAAGTGAGATTAGACTAAAAGCAGATTACTGCAATAACGTAGGTGACATGCTGAGGGCTTCATCTGAGGCAGTGATTCTGAGAACAATTTTAAAAGAATTCCAGGAGGAACTAACCACTAACTAGACGCTGGGGGCAGGGGGCTAAAGGAAAACTCCCAGGCAGAAGGGTGGGCGAGGACACACACACAGTTTGAAGTCAGCTATGGTATGTACATTCACATGGAGAATCAGTTAACTAGTGTTTGGGACTGAAAACTAGGCTGAAGACGAATATGGGAGACAGCAGCAATTCTGTTGGTGGTGAATGCCGTGAGAATGGATGAGATTCCTCAGGAAGACTATGCAATAAGAAGAGTAGCAAGAAACAGAATCTGGGGGGCCGGCCCCATGGCCGAGAGGTTAAGTTCGCACGCTCTGCTTCGGCAGCCCAGGGTTCTCCGGTTCGGATCCTGGGCACAGACCACACACCTTTCGTCAAGCTGTGCTGTGGTGTCCCACACAGAAGAACCAGAATGACCTACAACTAGGATATACAACTATGTACTGGGGCTTTGGGAGGGTAAAAAAAAAAAAAAGAGGAAGCTTGGCAAGATGTTACCTAAGCGCCAGAAAAAAAGAAACAGAATCCTGGAGAATATCAAAATATAAAGAAGTTGAAGGGGCCGGCCCGTGGCTGAGTTGTGAAGTTCCCGGCACTCCACTTTGGGGTCCCGGGTTCACGGGTTTGGATCCTGGGTGCAGTTCTACTCCGCTCATCAACCATGATGTGGAGGCATCCCGTGTACAAAAAAGAGAGGAACATTGGCACAGATGTTAGCTCAGGGCTAATCTTCCTTAAGGAAAAAGAAGAGGAGGATTGGCAATGGATGTTAGCTCAGGGCGAATCTTCTTCACACACAAAAAAAGTTGAAGATGAAGGGATAAGAAGAGAACACACAGATAGATAAGCAGCAGAGATTATCATAGAAGGCAAGAGAATAAAGACTGAATGGCTGTCAGTGTTGAATGGTACAGTGGTAGAAACAACCAAGAAGAGAAAATTAATTGGATTTAGCCATTAAGAGGTGACTCTTTTAGAGTGGTAGGGATTTGAAGCAGGACAGCAATTAATTGAGAAGCAACTGGAAAGTAAAGAAGTAGAAATCTACACTGCTTATAAACTAAGTTTTCAAGAAGCATGGCTGAACAGGAGAAAAAAGACAGGGCAGTACCTAAGGAGTTACTAGAAGATTATCTCTAATTTTTCCCAGGAGAAAATACCTAAGGGTGTTTATAGGAAAAGAAAAAAGGAGCGAACAAAAAAGAGAACGAATGAAAATACGGAAGAGACATGACAATAGAAAGGTATTTAAAAGTTTTTATTTTTATTCTTTTATTTTTTCCTTTTTCTCCCCAAAGCCCCCCAGTACATAGTTGTGTATTTTTAGTTGTGGGTCATTCTGGTTGTGGCATGTGGGACGCCGCCTCAGTGTGGCCTGATGAGCAGTGCCATGTCCGCACCCAGGATCCGAACCGGCGAAACCCTGGGCTGCCGCAGAGGAGTGTGCGAACTTAACCACTTAACCATGGGGCCAGCCCCTAGAAAGGTATTTAAATACACAGCTACAACAGTCTAGGGTAACTACTACACTGGTATCCAATGTATTCTTATTCCAGAAACTGTGACAAAGGAAAAATAAATACTGTAGATATTGTCTAATGGCTCTGAAAACTGAAATCTGTATCAGCTGGGTTTTCCAGGCCATCTATGGATTCACTCAAACAGTACTTGTTCACCCACATTCTCAGGGCCCTCCACCTCTCGGAAAAGATTTGGCTTAGGCTGCAGAAGGCCTAATCCTCGAGAAACCACAGCAAATACCGGTGGCAGGTGACCAGCCTCGGCACGGCTACCCACAGTGGGGCCGCGGCGCCCAGGAGGGAGCTGACATCTTTTCATCTTCACCCAAGACCTAGAAGCCAGCCGTGGAGTATTCCGTGGGTAGCCCCCACTTCCCAGTCTTCCTTGACCAAGTTCTGGTCAGTATTCGCATCCCCTGCCTCTCCTAACCCAAACCCCATCTTCCTGCTCTTTGCCCCAAGACTCCTGAAAGCCGTTTTATGGTTTGGGGCATATGTGATATCGCGCTAAAACTTTAAAATCAAATCTCTCCCTCTTATCGGACATCCTGAAATTATTTTTCTTCCTGTATTACTTCAGTTTATAGTCATAAGTTTCTGACAAAGAGAGGTGATGTTGGAAGACAGCTTCTCCCTTAGTTTGTCTTTTCTCCAAATCCCGCAAAACAAATACAAATATTTTAACATTTATAATAGTGCCCTCATCCCAACAAAATTAAACCAAGATTACTGTTTGGATGCAAGAAGCAGCACATAGACGTCTTCCCTTTTAGGCTGCTGCTCTCTAGAGCGCGCGCCTCACTAAATACCAGACTTTCAACGCGTCTGGGATCGGCAAACTGACGCCACATTCTTAAATCCAAGGTATGATTCAAAATAAATCCAGCTAATTAAACTCGTGCCTGGATTTCTGTAGGAATCACAGAAACCACTAGAAAGATGACCCACATCTAACCAGACGGGCAGTAAAAGTCCCAGGGCAAGGCGAACGCGCCACCCTATTTTCACGTTCCCCTACGACCCCCTCCAGACCATCTTCATCATCACTCAGGAGAAGAAAATTTAAACAGAATTTTAACGGACCCAAGCTTTACTTACCTCAGGGATTTGAGGCAGCTGCACCGTTTAACGTTCAGGCTGTTTCGATCTGTGGGAGGGGAAAAAGAAAAACAAAAACAACTTGGCTCCCTCGAAGGAAACCCTGAAAAGGGGTGCGGGTTGGGGGGCGGCCATTAGGGCCTCCGTCAACGAAGGGGCTGGAGTAACAGTGCCCTGCAGACTTCCAACGCCCACTGCAGAGAGGAGCCCGAGCTCGAGGAGCCAGCGAAGGGCCAGAAGATGCTCCAAGGCCAGTCCTCCGGGCCTCGGCCCCAGCAGCCGCTCTCGCGCGGACTAGGCCGGCGCCGCTCCGCCGAGAGGAGGCCCTGCCGTTCACGTCAGTCCTCGCACACCGCCCAGAGGCGGCGACAGCTCCGCTCCCGTCCCCGGCCCCTCCGCCCCAGCAGGCAAGAGACAGGCCGCGAGGGGTAGCGGCGCCCGGCTCGCCCAGGAGCCCAGACCGGAAGCGCCCCTCCCCACGCCGCGCGGCCCCTCGGCCCCTCCTCCGCGCCGCCCACAGCGGGCGACTCGCAGGCCAAGGGCTGCGTCGCTCCGGCGCGGGCCGGACTCCGCCGGCCAAACAGGCAAGAAACACACCCACCTGCGGCCCACCAGGCGGCCCTACACCCCGCGCTCCACTCCGGCGCTCCCGGTAACCGACTCACTTCCGCCAGGAGCCGACGGCCACCTGACTTCCGCTTCCGGCCGGAAAAGGCGGAGGCGGACCTGTCAACTCTCGCGAGGTCTAAGGCTCGCCTTGTGGCTTTGGCCCAGTGCTTCGACCGCTAGTGCGACGCGCGAAGCTCTGCAGGAGTGGTCACGTGGCGGGCTGCGGGCGACGAGGCCCTCCCTGCGCTTTCAGCCTGCCTGGTGACTGGGCGGGAATGGACCGCGCCCTATAGTAAGCCCCTTCGGGAGCCGGGGACGGGTCGGGACGGAAGTTCTGGAAATAGGCAAAGCAGGGAGGGAAAGGCCGCTCCCGGCCGCGTGCCCCCAGGTCTCTGCAGCGCGAGGAGAGCGCGGCCCGCAAGAGCCGGCGCGCGTGGATGACTTCCGCCGCTCAGGGATGACCCGTCGCGCTGCACCTTGCACTCCTGCGCGGACGAACCTCGGCGGTGAGGTCGCCGTAGTGCGCTGTGTGTGTGTCTGTGCCGGAACACACCCGCCGTCTGCTCCAGCTTACGCCTTTGGGCCCGGCTACCTCCAGGAGTCTTGGCTGTTTCTTCTTGGATGTTCTGCAGGTGTATAAACGCTGAATATGCCAAACATCACCTGTCCCCGCCCTCCCAAATTGCTTTCCACACTCTGCCCTCTTTTTGTTGATATTACCGCCACTTTCCAGCCTGGAAACATCGATGTCTGTATTTAATGCCATTTATTTCTTTTACTTGCTCCCGTCACTTGACAAGTTCTGCCCCCATTACCTCTGCATTAATTTTGGCGTCCATCCTCTCTCCTTACTCTTGCCTCCCCCAATCAAATTTCTCATTATCATTCCCTGAACAGTGGAAATGCAGTACCTTTCTCTTTGATGCCCTTCCTCTAGCATCACTCCACCACTCGCCCAGCTTACATAGAAGTGCTGTAGGTTTAGTCATTTTCAAGCACAGCTGTGATCGAAAATCTTCGCTGGCTTCCTGTTGTCTGTAGATTAAAGGCCAAGTTTATTAACTTGTATTCAAAACTCTGACTTAGTTTTCTGCCATCCCCCTTTCGTTCTCCCTTTGTCCGTGGCAAACCAGACCATGTGAGGCACTTTGTGCATGAACTATGCATTACCTTTCTAAAGATTGTTCCTGTCTCTTTCTGCTTGGAATACCCTTCCCTCCTCATCTTTTCAATTCTTCCCCCTTTTTTTTTTGAGGAAGATTAGCCCTGAGCTAACATCCACCACCAATCCTCCTCATTTTGCTGACGCAGACTGGCCCTGAGCTAACATCCATACACATCTTCCTCTACTTTGTACGTGGGACACCTACCACAGTGTGGCTTTCCAAACAGTGCCATGTCCACACCCAGGATCCGAACTGGCGAACCCCGGCCACCGAAGTGGAAGGTGCACACTTAACTGCTGCGCCACTGGGCCGGCCCCTATATTCTTCCCATTCTTTAAAGCCAAACGAAGTGACATCTCCATCTAGAAATAATTTTTCTTTCTACTGAATGTCCATCATACTTTCTGAACCATTCTTCGTGTATTTATTCAGTTATTACTGCTTTCTAATTTTGAACTAAAATTATTTATGTAAAGTCTTCCCCCTACTAGACTACAAACAGACCTTTATCTGATTCATTTCTGCATTCTGGAGTGGGTGACAGTGTGCTTTGTATAAAGTAAGCACTCAGTAAGTGTGGAATGAATGATGGAACTACGAATGTCCCAAGCCATGTTTTAGAAACATTAACCTAGCAAAAGTATGTAGGACGGTATGGATGGCGATATAGGATAGTCTTGATGTTGGGTAGTCAAGATGAGAGTGGAAAGACCAAGGTTGCAATAGGTGAATAGTACTATCCTTAGTAACTGCGTGGATGATGGGAGAAAAGGATTAGGAGGAATCAGAGGAGACTCCAATTCTTTAAGCCTGGGAAATTGGGACTGAAAAGGGATAGCCATAGGGTGAGTTGGTTTTAAAGCAAAAATGAGCTCTGAGCTCAAAAAGATTTGTAGAATTTGAGATGGCAGTGAAATATCCAAAAGAAGATTTTTAGGGGTTGTTAGGAATACAGGACTAAAGCTGAGGAAAGAGAGGCTGTGCCTAAATATGTAAATATGTGAGTCATCCATGAAGAAACAACCGTTGAAATAATCAGTGTATGTGATCTTTCCAAAGGAGAAAGTATTTATAGAGAAGAGCAGAAGGCCAAGGCCTACGCCTCAGGAAATACCCATATTTAGGAGGCAGGAACAGGAAATATAAACTTGAAGAGGAGATTAGAATAAATACATGGGTAGCAATGTAACATTTGAAAAGCTCAGAAAAATGCTTCTTCACCTGGTATCAGGAGTCAGGGAGGATATTTGGGAAAAGGAGGGTCGTTAAAGGTCGGCTGCCTTGTTCCTTATGATTTTATTTTGGCGTTAGTTCTAGGCAAGGAGGACTTACACAGAAAAGAGTATATCTCTTTTCTTTAAATTAATAAATGGCACTCAGGAGCTCCTAGGCTTCTGAGAGTTTCTGTGAAAAGTTCTAAGTGTTCCAGCCAATTTTCAAGTGAAACTATTTATGCCCATAATGTCTTCTCATATTCTGATGTCAGTTATTTTATCTCACTTTCTGGCATCACTAGGAAATAATCTGTTCCATGACAGGGAATTTTCCAGATAACTGACACTTAGTCTTTAAGCACCAAAATGTTTTTATTGGAACCACTTTTGATGGAAATGTGCATAAAATGTAGTACTGATTTCTCTGCCATAACCAGAGTATATGAGCCATAATTTAGTCTTTGCTTGGCAACTAAAAGTCATTGTTATAGCATCAATTAATATATTCTGCTAGATGTAATAATGTCCTTGGGCCTGTTGATATTCATGGAAAAGATTGCCTTTTGTTAGTTGATTTGAGTGGCTCTGTTATTAGTGTTAAATCTCAGTGTTTTATCTTCTAGCAATTTTGTAAATTAACCTAATTTTACCCGTCATTTTAAGCCTCACCTTTACCTGGTGATCTGGAGGCAAAACATACCAGCGGAAGTCCCTGGGGAATCCTGACATTGAAAGAGCCCTGCTGTCAGAAGCCCTGAGTGGCTTTGGATGATGACCATTTTAAAGATGATGAAACTGAGGCTCAGGAGATTATATAATTTATTCGAGGGTGTAGCCGGTAAGTGGCAGGGCAGGATTTGGATTAAATCTGTGATACGTCAAAAAGCCTTGCTTTTCCTCATTGAAACACTGTTCTCTCCTTTGCATTCCCTGCTCCACAAATCTCGAGCCACATTAAACCGCTCGGCTGCAGCGGCACTGCCCCGTCTCTTCCAGGACGTGGTTGCTGTGAGCCCTGGAAGGCGGAGCTCTGCCCCTGCAACCTCCCCAAGACTGAGCTCCACAAGGTACCTGTTTCCTCACATTGCTCACCTTTAAAAAAAAAAAACTCTTGAAGGTGCATGTCATGGGCATAACCCGAGTGCTATGGCTGGTCCCTAGCAAAATTTAGGAAGGCTGGGTGAGTGAGCTTCTGGTTTCCTCCTTAAAGAGCCAGGACTCATAAGATAGCAAATTCTCTAAACAGAAGAAAGGTATTCTGAAGATGCTGGACAGACAGGAAATGGGACCGTTACCCACTACACTCTAGTGTACCACTTACCATGTTTTGCCTTGTATTATGGTTCATTGAATACATAAAATCACAACATGGAAGCATTGAAAAGGATTTTCTGGTTGAATGCTTTTTTTTTTTTTTTTTTAAAGGTAACGCCCCAGGAGACGAAATGACTTCTCCAAGGTCACAGAATTGACCAGTGGCAAAACTGGAACTATAACCTTCAGGCGTTCTTCTTTGGTTTAACAGACATTTTTTGCGTACCTATTAGATGTCAGGCACTGTTGTAGGCCCTGAAAACATCAGTAAGGATAAAAGGCCTGCCCTCCTGGAGCTTACATTCTAGTGGAGGAGATAGACAATAAAAACACTGAATACAAATAAGGCTATGAAGAATAATTAGGGGCTGGCCCCAGGGCCGAGTAGTTAAGTTTGTTCACTCTGCTTCAGCGGCCCAGGTTTTCACAGGTTCGAATCCTGGGTGCGGACATGGCACCGCTCATCAAGCCATGCTGAGGTGGCGTCCCACATGCCACAACTAGAAGGACCCACAACTAAAATACGCAACTGTGTACTGGAGGGATTTGGGGAGAAAAAACAGGAAAAAAAAAGAAGATTGGCAACAGTTAATAGCTCAGGTGCCAATCTGTTAAAAAAAAAAAAAGAATTAAGTCAAGGGGATAGAGGGCAACGGGCTGCTGCTTTGGATAGCATTGTCAGGGAATGTGTGAGTGTATAGTTTTCATCTCAGCTCATTTCCTTATAAGGCAGAGCCGCTCACCCTTTCTCCTCCTGTCAGGAATGTATAAATTGAATACTCGGTTTATTTTTAATGTCCATTTCCTTCATAAGTGAGTAGGTGAATATCTGTGTCATATCTGGGACAAGACAGGCGTCGCTGAGTTTGTAGTTCCTAGACTGTGCCCAGTGGCAAAACTGAACTTCTGTGCCTGTGGCTGGAGTTGGAATTACAGACTCCCAAATGTTCCTGTCCTCCTATCGTGTTGTTCAAACCACCCTCCCTTTCTCACCCTCGCACCCCACCCCATCCACAAACACACTGACCATCTTCCACAGAGCCAAGCACATGGATGGATCTCAATAAATAAGTTCCCAAACAAGAATTGAAAGATGACAGCCTTCCACTCACTTTTTCTGATCTGGGCACTTCTCATCACATTCCCCTGCCCTGATTTTATCTTCTGCAAAATGGGAATAATAGTCCTTGCTTCTTTCCTGCTTCGTGAGGTTGTTGCAAGAATTAGTTATTACACATATAAAGTGCTTTAGGCTCAAGTGAGGAAAGACGCTATGTAAATGCTAATGATAATTAGAGCTATTATATGTTAATTCGGTGTTTATTCTCTGAGAAGACATTTCAAGCTATATGAGGCATTGGTTTAGATTCACGTCTGTACTCCTGTAGCTTTAATTGCATGGAATTGTTTTGATGAGATATTACGAAACCTCAATCCACTTCTCCACCTTGGCGTCATCCTGCCACGGAAGGAGCCCTTTGTGTAGGAACCTTTCTCAGGAGAGTTCAGGAAGCAAGCCAGTGCTGGTTGCAAGTTTGTTCACTGCTCTACCATAGAAGCTGATCAATATCATTGAGGAAATCACAGAAGAAGGAAAGATGAGCAATCTTGGGGAAGAAAAAGCTGTGAATTGGGCTTAAGGGGTTGGACTGAAATCTTTTCCAGTTCTAAAATCTGTGACTGTGATACAAAGGTGTTTTCTCACCTTTTTCTTAATGTTTGTTGTGTGAATAATGGCACAGACTATGTTTAAGTGGAAGTGGTTTGCGATGAAGTTGTACAATATCTGCCTGTTTCTATTCCATTTAACAGGGCCCATCCAAGGCCAATGATGCCTCTAACCTTTGGTATCCTCCCTTCATTTTCTATGGCCAGTGTCTCTGGATGCTCCGTTGGCTAGCTCTGGTCATTTACTTCAGCATCTTGGTCCTACCTACCTCTTCATCAGATATGTGTGTTACACTTAGAAGAGACCTTGGAAATGTACACAGAGACCAAGGGGTTGTCCAGAGTTCCCTCTCAGCCACCCCTTGCCCCTTGCTACCATGTTCTCTCCTCCAGGTAGTTTCCAGAATTTTTTTCATTGAAGTGATAATCACAGTTTGAGTGTTATGAGCATTTTCTAAGCACTCACAAGTGGTGTGAGTAAGCCTCCTTCTCTGAGGGTGAGCTTCTGCTGTCTTGCCCATTTTAAGAAGGCGCGTCTTCTGAGTCTCAGTCCACGGCCTTGGCAAGCTTACTGTCCTTGGTGACAGGGGGCCTGTTCTGCCCTTGTGTGAAGCCAGCCTTGCCTTGTAATCTTTCAAAAGAAAGGCACAAGAAGCCCCATTTTAAAATGTGTTCAACTAATGCAAGTATCTTCAGTATAAGTGAGTGTAACATAGGGAATAGAAAGAGCACCAGGCACAGAGTCAAGAAACTTGAGTTAAAATCTTACTCCCTGTGGGTGTCATGCAAGTCTTCACCTCCCTGGGCCTTAGTTTTCTCACTTTGTTTCTTAGGTGGCAGGTAAAATTGAGGCTCCAGCATGCATGCCCTTGGCTCCCCAGTCCCATGCCTATGGTTGCACCTCTTCCTGCCCCTTTCACCTTTTGTCTCTCTGTCTCCTGCTCCTGCTGTGTCTTTGGTCATTGCGCCCCATGCCCTTCTGCACGTTGCTCCTGCAGGTGTTCCTTCTCTCTTCTCCGTTTTCAGCTCGCCCTGTCACTAGCTCTGCCCCCTCCCCCCCCAGCCATGTCAACTTGCTCAAGTTTCTCTGGTCTCAAAACAGAGCTGATACCTGCCCTCAGTGCTGTGTCCTCCTCTGAATATCGCGGTGTCCTTTCCTACCCGCAGTAGGACACTGCTCTCCCGTCTCTACTCACTGCAGTCGGGCTTCTGCCCCAGGCACGCCCCTGAAATCGCTCTGGCAAGGTTCGCTAGGATAGGGTTGACCTAGGGCCAAGTTCAATGACATCTGTCTAAAATCTTCAGTTTCTTTAATATCCGTGCAGCACTGACGCTTTCATCTCCTTCCTCCCTTAAGCCTTCTTCTCACTTTGTTTCCAAGTTTCCCACGATCGTCCTCTGCCCTGGGTTGCTGTTTCTTCTCTCTGTCTCTCTCCTTGGCTGACTCGTTCCCCTGCTTGTCCCTAAGTGTTGGTGTCCCTGTGGCCCCGTTTGTCCTCTCCTTGTGTTGCCTGTGCAGCCTCGGTCTCCTTTATGGCTTCAGCTTCTGGCTCTGTGCTGATGACTCAACAGTGGAGACCTCCAGCCATCCATCATAGCTGAGCTCTAGACTCATAAATACTTCTGCCTACTAGAAGTTTCTATCTGGATGTCCAAGAGGCGTCTCCATCACATGTCTAAATGTGAGTTCATCTTTCTTCCTGAACCTGCTCATCTACCTCTCTCTCCGTTTTCAGAGAAAGCTTCCTCCCAGTTACCCACACCAGAAACCTGGCCGTCATCCTGGACTCCTCCCTCTCGCTCATCCCACACATCCAGTCCCTCCCCGAGTCCTGTGGACTTCAGCTCCTGACCATCTCTCTGTTTGTCCACTCCTTGTCTTTCCTTCTGCCCCTCTTTGAGTTCTGACTCTCATCCCTTCTCGTACAGACCATGGTGACAGCCTCTAACTGGTCCCTGTGTCCAGCTTTGCTCCCCTCCAGACCCTTCTCTCCCCTGCTAGTAGTTTTCATCTTTTATTATTATGAAATATACAGATAAGAATTGATAATAATATAACCAATCCTTATGTATCTACCAGCCAGCTCAGAGAAGATTCTTTCTGAAGCACAAAGCTAATTATATCTATCCTTTCATCTATCCACCTCTCAGTGGTCCCTAATTGCTTCTGGAATACACTCTAAGCTCCTTAGCATGGCATTACAGCCTGTTAAGATTTTGTTCTCTGCTATCTGTTCAGCTACATCTCCTCTCTTTAAGTGAACTGAATGCACAGACGTATCCAACTGTCTCAAGTTCCTGGAAGACTCCATGCCGTGCTGTACAGGTGCTGTTCCTTTTGTGTGCAGTGACCTCCCCACTCTGGTCCACCTGGAAAACCTTAGCCTATTACGTCATCTTTGGGTGGCCTTCTGTAATACAACCCCACTTTGTCCCCATCTCCAAGCAGAACTGATTATTTCTTCCTTTATATCTTTAACCTATGTAGTCAACATATTTATCACAATGTACTGTGATTTGTTTATATCCACCTAAATTATAAAATTCTTGAGAGTAAGGCTGTGCCTTTCACCTCTTTAGCAATTAGCCTAGAGTCTGGCAACCTGACACATAGTTGGTGCTCCGTAAATGTTTATTGGTCTGGCCCCTACCTTCCTCTCCAGTTTTATTTATTTATTTTTTATTTGTTTTTTAAGATTTTTTAATTTTTTTCCTTTTTTCTCCCCAAAGCTCCCCGGTACAGAGTTGTATATTCTTAGTTGTGGGTCCTTCTAGTTGTGGCATGTGGGACGCTGCCTCAGCGTGGCCTGATGAGCAGTGCCATGTCCGCGCCCAGGATTCGAACCTACGAAACCTTGGGCCACCTGCAGCGGAGCACGCAAACTTAACCACTTGGCCACGGGGCCAGCCCCTCCAGTTTTATATTTGACTAATCTTTGCCCACTTACTTCCTCCCGACTCAGTAAACGCTCAACCATATATAAAGATTCAGCCCACCTCCTGTGCACAGCACATGCGTTCCCTGGACACCGCTTCATCGTGGCACCGCATCACTTTATTGAATCTGTCTGTTTTCATGGCCATCCTCCCTGCTAGGGTGGAAGTGCCAGGAGTCGGGGCACCATGTGTGCTGTCTCTGCGTCCCCAGCACCTAGCACTGGGGCTGACGCACAGCCTTGAAGAAGCGTTGTGCACAGAGGAACGAAGGAGTCAGACTTGCTGATTTCTAAGTTGTCCTCCAACTCCAAAACTGTATGAGTTGTTCCCAAAACTGTGACATAATCCAGAAGTTTTCTCCCAGCAGATGGTCAGAACAGTTGAAACACCAAATCAAACAGTTGGCAAATATAAAGGTAAACATTTAAGGAAGTGGGTGAGAATGAAGGTGAATCCTCCAAAAGGAGGGGGAACATTGGCAAAACAGTGCATGCCAGTAGTCACAGGCGCCCCCTTCATCTGATGGTAGGTCCCATCTGTTCCCTCCAATGACACATGTGCCTCGAGAGCTTCTCAGAAAGGTGGTTGACAGCCTCCCCATGACTCAGCCCCCACTGGCTGGAAATGAGCTGGAAGCACATTATCTCTCTGCAGTGAAAATTAATTTTTTTCCTTTAGCATTTCACTTTCATTCGCTCATTTTTGTAAACTAAACACAAAATTTTGTCGTTTATTTAATATTTTGTTTCTGTGTAGATAGAACTCTAGACAAAACCCTTATCTAAAGACTCTCCTAAGATTTGTGACCTTACTTATTTTTTCACTCCACAAGCAT